CCCCCTGGGATGTTGCTGGGCACATAGGGAGGAGGTCCAGGCCTAGAGAGGAGTGAAGCCCTCCCGGGGCGTGGTGTGGACCGCATGAAGGGTGGTGGGGTTGGAGACAGCTGGAGGTCAGATCCCAGGGGCTGTCCTGTGTGATGCTGAATTGCTGGGAAGGGGATGGCAGCTAGTCTCTTTCCCTGTGCCAACCCTGATTGGTTGGGTGGCTGCTGAGAGCCCTGCGGTACCCTGGCTCAGTAGGAAGAGTGTGTCTTCATATAGTGAGGTCACTAAGGACACAGGAAGAAGGTTGGAGAGCAGGCAGCAGATAATGCCGGGCTGGGGAGCCTGGAGGTTTAAGGCTGGCAGACCCTGGGTGAGACTGCAGCCAGGCTGTTTTCTGTTCTTTTTCTTAGGCTTTGGGAAACCTTTATCTTTTCAGTGCCTCTGTGACAGGGTCAGAGCAGTTTGGTGACAAAATGGAAGTAAACCGCAGGTGGAAAACAGTTCTGGGATCCTCCTAGGCTTGCACTTACTGAGGATTAGGCAGAACTTCCAGTGTGGCCCAGGTTTCTAAACAGGGTGTTCCCAGGACGTGGAAAGACTGGTTTTCAATCAGATAAAGTAGGATCCTATGAAAAACTTCAGAGCCTTGCCGTTCCTATGAAGTGGTAGCTATCCACACACTTCTGATTATGCCACCAAGGTAAAAGGAAGTGGAATAAGAAACAGGGACATTTGAAAATAAGAAAAGGCTGTGTGCATATGCATGGGGCATAGCCCGTACATGTATGTTTGTGTGCTCCTATGTGTACACACTCGGGGGCACAGCCTATACATGTGTGTATGTGTGCTCCTGTGTGCACGCGCATGGGGGCACAGCCTGTACACACGTGTATGCGTGCTCTTGTGTGCACGTGCAGGGGGACACTGCCTCTACATGTGTGTATGCGTGCTCCTGTGGGCACACGCACGGGGGCACAGCCTCTACATGTGTGTGTGTGTGCTCCTGTGGGCACATGCATGGATGCACCGCCTGTACATATATGCATATGAGCCTGTGGGTGTGTGAGGTGGGTGAGGGGCCTTGAGGGACTGGAAACTTGCTTAAAGGTCATTTGGGAGAGTACAGCTCTCTATACCACCCACCCTAGGGCAGTTAGGCAAAGGTGTGCCTCCCTTTAAGAGAGCCTAAGGGTCAGTCTGGTTTTCAAAATAGATTATCAGGAATTAGCACTTTGGCTTGGAAAAGGAACCTTTATTTTGTAAAAGATTTTTAATCTCTGCAGCTTCTCCGATAGACATTGGAAACCTGATTGGAAACTCAGGCCCCCAGCATCTGTTGGGGGCACATGTCTGCATTCTTGGTTATGATGCCACTGCCCTGGTTCAGGTATCCTAAAAAACAGAACTAATGATAACAATGATTGGTGTAGATTTCATGGCACAGAGCACTGTGGTTTGTATAGTAAGACACAGTGATGGTGTGGACCGCTGCAGAGCTGGCTTTGCAGATGTGAAGAACAGTGACTTTGCCTGACATAGTGTTTGCATGGAATTAAACTAGTAAGGTTGATGTGAATCTTGTCCTTTCATTTATTATGTAGATTCATTGGTTGGGTAACTGTGGAATTAATATCATAGTGCCTGTTTAAATTAAGAAAATGCAGTTACGACCGGGTGCAGTGGCTCATGCCTGTAATCCCAGCACTTTGGGAAGCTGAGGCAGGTGGATCACCTGAGGTCAGGAGTTCAAGACCAGCCTCACCAACATGGCAAAACCCTGTCTCTACTAAAAAATACAAAAATTAGGCAGGTTCCTGTAATTCCAGCTACTTGGGACGCTGAGGCAGGAGAATCGCTTTAACCCCTGGAGGTGGAGGTTGCAGTGAGCCAAGATCGTGCTATAGCACTCTACCTTAGGTGACAGAAGGAGACTCCGTCTAAAAAAAAAAAAAAAAAAGAGAGAAAGGGAAAAGAGAAAATGTAGTTACAAAGAAGTTTCTAAGCATTTTATATTAAAACAGCAATTCAGAAGAAATCAAAACAAAACAAAAAGCTGGGCATGGAGGAAACTCAATTTTAAATATAAACTCTAGGGGCAAGTGGTGAATCTGGGTGTTGTGAGTCATTTGCTGGCTTGTTTGTCACGTGGCCTGCTCTATAAGTGTCACCTTAATTGACTTGTTCATTCGGGATGGGCACTCTTCCAAGGTTTTTCTTTCTCCCTTTCTTTGGGGTGCACTGTGTGTGTGTGGTAAGAACAAGGGCCATGGAATTAGAGAATCCTGAGTTTCCAAGGCAAACTCAGTCCCAAACAGTGTGACCTGGTTACCTAACTCCTTTGGACCATCCCCACCCATGGCCCTCATCTGTACCCTAGGGATAATATAAAAGTGTGGGCTCTGCAGGGTTTTGGCAAGCAAGTGGGACGAGATAGCAAAACACCCAGCCTAGAGCCTAGCACCAATTGACCTGTAATTTATAGTGCATGAACACAGCCGTTCTCTGGATGTGTCCTCTTTTGCCTCCACTGTCAGGTCAGAGAGTGGGGTAACCTCTCCCACAAGCAGCGGGAGTCATCTCATCCCAGCCTTTCAGGAGGGTGAATCTACACCTGGGGTCCAGAGTCTCCGAGATGAGACTTGAGCCAGGTGCTCGTTTACCAAGACTCAGGCTGTGGAGGCTCTAGCCATGGTTTCTCCATGCAGGAGTGAGGTTGGGACAAAGGGTCTTTCTTTCTGAGGCTCTGTGCTCTGTGGTCCCCGCTGCTCTGGACTGGTTCATTGGTGAAAGCTGTCACATTCTCTGGACCAGTTGCCACGCTATGCTCACAGTCCCTGTTCTTGTCATCCTAGGCAGGAAGTGAGTGATGACTCTGTGGTGAGGGCTCATCTCAAGATCCCCAAGGGCTGAAGCTCAGCCAGCACTTTACAAGGGTGATCTGGAGCCGACCTGGCCTGTTGGCCGACCATGGGTGACTCTGGGTAGCCCATACCCAGGCTCAGCAGCAATTGGGGAGCTGCCTCGATATCTGGTTACAGAATTCCTGGGACTGAGTCACTGCAGTAATTGCTGTGATGAATTGTGTTTACTTTGTGTGGGATTCCAAACTGTAGCAGCAGTGACTGCAGTTGGAAGACGGCATGATCAGCAGCTTCCAAGGCAGAGCCTGGCGTCAGAAAGCTGCATTGCGCTAACACTGAAGCCCGTGAGAGCCCTTTGCAGACACTTGGTTGTTTAGCGAGCTGGTGACTCTCCTTGTCATGAGTAAGCTAAGGACCTTGGACAAGTCATCCAGACTCCACTGGGCATGTCATTCTCCTGCTTGGATGCCTCAAGGCAGAGAGACAGTGAGGTGAAGCGGTTAGTGCAGGAACCCTGGCTATAACCTGCTGTTTTTTGTTTTTTGTTTTTTTTTTTTGAGATGGAGTTTCACTCTTGTTGCCCAAGGTCGAGTGCAATGGCATGATCTCGGCTCGCTGCAACCTCTGCCTCCTGGGTTTAAGCGATTCTCCTGCCTCAGCCTCCAGAGAAGCTGGGATTACAGGCATGTTCCACCACGCCCGGCTAATTTTGTATTTTTAGCAGAGATGGGGTTTCTGCATGTTAGTCGGGTTGGTCTTGAACTCCCGACCTCTGGTGACCCGCCCGCCTTAGCTTCCCAAAGTGCTGGGATTACAGAAGTGAGGCACCGCGCCCGGCCGCCTGCTGGAGTTTGAATCCACCTGTGTAATCTTGTGTGATATTAACCTCTCTGGCTCTCAGCACTCTCATCTGTGAAATAAGACATTTTAGCAGTATCTATTTCATAGGGTTGCGTTTGAAAGAGTTAACATGTGTAAAGTGAATGGTACAGGGCCTGGCATCCTGGCAAGATTGCTATCAGGATTAAGGCAGGCTAAGCCTTTGGCATGCACTAGGAACTCAGTAAATGTGAGCTGATGTTGTTGGTCCTTTATTTCTATTTGAGAAGCCTGCCCTGCCCTCCTCCCTCTCCATCTGCACAGCAGCCTGGTACCCGTTGTTCTCTAAGTTCTGGCCACATGTTATGACATGTTCTAATGATCTGGCTGTTCCCCTTAGGCAGTGGGGGCCACAAGGCAGGCCTACAGGACTTGGCCCTCTCTGTCTCTGTGGCGCCTTGCACCGTGTCCAAATAACGTGGGGAGGGACTCAGGAAACAGTGATCAAGTGTGACTGGCATAGTGGTTGCTGGGAGAACAGACAAGGTTCTCTCTCACGATGTACAGATTTCAGATCAGGAAAAGTCCCAGCTGGGATAAGTTTATCAAGCATCTCCCATGGGCAAGATAGGCTGTGGCCAGAGCCTTGAAGTACACGGTAGAAGGTGAGCCAGTCTTCCCAGGCCTGGGCTTCAAGTGATGAGACAAGATATAACCTCCCAGAGAATTCCCATAATGCAATCGGGAAAGAGCCGTGCCCAGTAGAGGCAGGGGAAAGTGACTCCAGAGACTCCAGGAAGGCTTCCTGGAAGAGGTGGAACGTGAGCGGCATAGGATTTTGAGAGAAGAGATAGAATGGGCTGATGGAGATTCTACTGGTGGAGGCTCAGGTTGACCTAAGGGCTGGCAGCAGTGGAGGCTCCCGATGAGTGAGTTTGAGGGGGCTCTTTAGCTCAGTCTGGTTGAGGCAGAGGCTTTCTGTAGGAGTGTGGCGTGACCTGAGTGTTGGGCACGTGGTCAGGACTGAGCTTTAAAAGTGAATGAGAGGGGCCATACATGATGGCTCGAGCCTATAATCCCATCACTTTGGGAGACCGACGCTGGCAGATCATCTGAGGTCAGGAGTTTGAGACCAATCTGGGCAACCCGGTGAAACTCTGTACTAAAAATACAAAAATTAGTTGGGCGGGGTGGTGGGTGTCTGTAATCCCAGCTACTCAGGAGGCTGAGGCAGGAGAATTGTTCGATCCCGGGAAGTGGAGGGTGCCATGAGCCGAGATCGTGCTGCTGCACTCCAGCCTGGGTGACAGAGTGAGACACTGTCTCAACAACAACAATAACAACAACAATAATAATAATAATAATAGAGAGGGAAGGAAGGCGGGGCATGATGCCATTTAAATCTCTGAGCATCTTATAGCATTGTTTACATCCCAGCTTTTCACTGACATTTCCTTTACCCCCACCCATACGTCATGGCCCTGGCTCTGTCCTGCATTTTCTCTTTCCGGTCCCTCTGTCCCCAGCCCCATGTGCCAGATTGCTGCAGTGTGGCAGGGAGGGCTGCTGGCATCCCAGCCATTTCCTGCCCCCAGGCCACCCACCCTTCTCGGATCTAGCGCAGCCTTGCCCTCCATATGTATGACCTCACCTCTATGGCAGCCGGGAAGCCGGGCTCCTGTTTCCTGCCTGTTTACCCTGGCTCAGCGACAGGTAGATCATGTGGCACTGCTGGGATGCCAGCCGCGTGAGTCTCCGGCAGTGGGCACAGGTGGGAGGGCAGGGGGCATTCCTCTGGGCTGACTCGAGCCCGGCCTGCCTGGCACGAGACCCCCTGCTTCTGCAGGGAGCTCAAGGGCTTGCTCACGGCTGCCCTGGTTCTGCACTGGGCCGCTGAGTCATCGCTCAGCAGAAAGGCAGGCCTCTGAGTCACGCTGCAGCCCCAGACTGGACAGTGAGTGCTTTGTGGGACTGTCCTGGGCTTTCCTGTTTCTCTGAGAGTTTAAAGGGGGTCCTAAATTGTCACATGACCCTCTCTGATGCTGGATAGACACTCTAGGTCTTTTGCACCCTGGTCATTTTACGGGCCTGTGGCTGGATGCCAGGTCACCATCAGAGACACATCCCTCAATCTCGGTCTGCCTCACAGGATCCAGAATCGAAGAGTTCAATTCAAGTCAGCAGCTGAGTTACAGGAAAGCAGCCAAGGTGATGATTAAGCAAGTCCAGGCAGGAATCAACCAGGCAAGATTTCGGGAGGAGAGGGCTGGGTGGCGTGTCCTGGCAGGGCCATAGGAAGAGCATACGCATCTCCTGAGTCTTGCATATTTTGTGAGTGTCTTGAAAGGGCCTTGAGAATCTGCCTGCTACCATGAAGAAGAGGTGCAGGAATGCCATTTATCCACTGGCACAAAGTAGCACGTTCGGTGTGCACTGAGCTTGTGGATCCCCGTCCTGAGCCGAAGATGCTGATGCTTTATACCCATTTCATGGTTGAAGACATTGAAGGTGCAGAAGAAGATACTGTCTTAGAGTCAGAGTCACAGAGCTAGGAAGCAGCATGTCTGGGATTTGACCCCAGCCCTGTCTGACTCAGTTTACCATTTTGAACTACCCGATTCAAGTTAGGTTTCTCTCCTCTTTCTCCCACTTGGCTGCTGGAATCTTCCCTAAGGGCCGTAGCTGTCTGCAGTGACTATTGAGGTATAACAAGTGTATTTTGGAGTCCTGCTGTCCCTGTGGATTGAGCCGGTGAAGCCCCGAGGCACTCTAGGGGTGGATGGATTAGGAGCTGGGGGCCTTGGCTGTAAAGACCCCTAAGGGTTAGTGTCTGGAGAGTGGGGGATGGAAATGAATCTTGGTGTGTGGAAATTGGGTGCCTCACTGACCCTGAGAAAGAGCCCTTGTTGAGGCTGTAAGGTGCCTCTGGCCTAAGAGAAACCCTCTAGGGTTCAGGCCCCAGCTGTACCCTCCTTTAGTCAGATGGCTCTGCAGGGTCATTTCTGCTGGCCCTGGCAGACACTGGACTAGATCAGTGTTTTTTTCTTTTCTTTTTTTTTTTTTTTTTTTTGAGTTGGAGTCTTGTTCTGTCACCCAGGCTAGAGTTCAGTGGCCTGATCACAGCTCACTGCAACCTCTGCCTCCTGGGTTCAAGTAATTCTCCTGCTTCAGCCTCCCGAGTAGCTGTGATTACAGGCCCTCACCTCTATGCCTAGCTAAGTTTTGTTTCACCATAGCATTTCACCATGTTGGCCAGGCTGGTCTTGAACTCATGACCTTAGGTGATCTGCCCTCCTCAGCCCCCCAAGGTGGTGGGATTACAGGCATGAGCCACTGCACCTGACCTACATTAGTGTTTCTAAAGCGTAGTCCCTTCCCTCTCCCGGGAAGGGGGCATCCGCAAGTGGGTGAGGGGATCGGAATCTGTATTGGTAGCACACTCCCCAGGAGAGGCTGGAGGGCACCTTTCCCCACCAGTGAGTTTGCTCAGGACAGTGTTTTTCTTGGGCCTGCATTTGAAAGAATTGTCCTCTGAGCTAATCACTAACTGTAAAAGTGGATAGAGCTCATGTGAAAATGAAAATTTCTGGCTTCCCTTGTGGGAAGCCGAGGCACGAAACGTATGGCTGGTAGGGGTGGGGGTCCCACAGCTGTGCAGCCGCCCTGGCTGGAGCCCCTCAGCAGTGTCCCGTGCTCGTGGTCCTCTCCCTTCTCCATAACTGCCTCCCTTCCTGACCAGCCACCTGACGATGCCATTGACCTTCAAGTTCATACATTGTTTTTCTTTTAGAAAAGAGAGATGAGAAATATTTCTTGTGCCTACATCTTTCTTAAAAGCAGAGCGAGAAACTTGAGGACTCCATATTTCTAGAAAAACAAGAGTGGGCATCCCTCTTCCCTGAAAGGAGGAAATTCCATACCTGCCCTCCATGGATGTAGACAAAAGAATTGGTGTCCTTTTGGTGTATGGAGGGCTTTTTCTTTTTTCCCATGGAGTGAGGGGGGTGGTTAGGGTTTGGGGCACATGAAGTGTAGGGCTTAGTGGGCATGCTGGAGTGGCTGGTGTCCCGGGAAGGCTTTTTTTTTTTTTTTTTTTTTTTAATAGTTTAAGTTCTGGGTTACACTTGCAGAATATATAGGTTTGTTATATAGGTATACATGTATCATGGTGGTTTACTGCACCCATCAACCCATCCTGGGAAGGCTTTTATAGACACGATGTGGCAGGGCTGGGACTCTAAGTGCTTTTAGCCAGCTATATTAAAATGGAATCCAGTGTCAGTTTTTTTTTTTTTTTTTTTGAGATGGAGTTTTGCCCTGTTGCCCAGGCCAGAGCGCAGTGGCCTGATCTCGGCTCACCGCGACATCCGCCTGCCTAGTTCAAGTGATTCTCATGCCTCAGCCTCCTGAGCAGCTGGGGCTTTGGGTGCACGCTGCCATGCCCAGCTAATTTTTGTACTTTTAGTAGAGATGGGGTTTCACCATATTGGCCAGGCTGGTCTCGAACTCCTGACCTCATGTACCACCCACCTTGGCCTCCCAAAGTGCTGGGATTACAGGTGTGAGCCACTGCACCTGGCCGTTCTTATATTCTTAGAACATACAGAACAACCAGGTATGGGCTTCTTATCTAGTGAGGCAGGGGAGGAAAGACTAGGAACAATGTATGTGGGTGCCCACCTCATGCTGGGCATGACCTTTTATTGAGGAACAATGAGTGGAAGAAGCAGCTTGCTCATGTCTCAAAGTGGCAGAGTCTGAACTTGAACTGTGGTGTCTATGTTTCGAGCTTGCCTCCTTCCTACAACCCGAGATGGCTCCTCCTAAATAATTCAGTGGCAAACATCACACAGGCAGTAACCTCACATAAGGAGCTGTGAGGCTGGGGCAGAAATATCCATTGCTGGCCTGCGAACTATTCACACAGGTCTGACTCCCTGCCCAGGACCTGGCTGCCCTGGCTCTATGGAATCCCTTTGTGACTTCCGTCTGAACTGAGCAGGTATGGGGCCATGTTGAACTTGGAGAAATCTGTGCAGGAGTCAGACTTAGGCTTTAGAGTCACCTGGGGTTGAATCTCGGGACTGCTATGTATTTAACCTGTCCCAGCCTCAATTGCTTTGTCTGTGAAATGGGGATGATACCTTCTACGTCAAAGGTAGTCGCATGAGGTTCTCATGCACTGAGGCCCGTGGCCATCATTTGTTTCTTTGTCTCTACAAGCAGAGAGGCTGAGTCACACAGATCCCGAGGGGAGATCACTTTCTCTTCCCACCTTAGGTGTATCATCTCCACCTCCTTAAGCTTGTATTATCTGGGTGTGGTGAGCCTCAGGAATAATGCTGTGACATCAAGCCCCATGAACACCTCCTTTCACATGGACCCGTGACCAGCTGCGGCTGCCAGTGGTGACGAGAACTGACGACGCTCCAGGGCTGCCGGGAACGGTGCATGTGCTTCTGGGCAGGGCACTTCCTAGAACCCCCAGGCTGCTCTGTGAAGAGAACCAGCTCCCAGGGAGCTCCAGGAGGCAAGAAGCAGGTTCTGGCGGTGGTGGTGCTGGCGCAGGAGGCCAGGCTCCTGGCAGAATCGGTTTCCAGCTCTGGGCACTGGGGTGCAGTATGCAACCAGCAACAGGCTGCTCAGATGCCAGGCACCACCGGAACCAAAATCTTCTCAAAGCATCTTCAGAAGGCAAGGACAGAGCGAAGCATTCCAGAGAGGAGCATTTGGGGAAAAGTTTTCTTGGAGCTTCGGAGCTCAGGGAGTGCCATGGGGGAGACTCACGAGGTTGATGCCTGCTGACAGTCCTGTAGAGAAGATAACTGTGAGCTCTCCGTCTCCTGTGGAGTTTAGCGCTTGGCCAGGTGGCCATTTCTCTCCCTCCTGCTGGGCGACCTTATCCAGGGCAAGGGGCTCCTTGAAGAGTGTCTTTCACATGGAAGCATTCCCAGAATGGTGGCTTGTGACCCATGGTAGTGGTTTGAACTTGGGATGGCTCTGCAGACGTGTCTCCAGCCTCCCTCCTCCTTGGTGTACTGATGTCGTGTTGCCTGGGAACCTGTTACCTCCCCTCTTCGTCATGATTTCACATCAGTATCCCCCTTCTCCTATGCTTCTGTCTTCCTTTTACCATTTCATATTTTTTTCTCTCATTCATTCATTCATTCAGTTCCACCTAGCCACCCTTTCATCTCACCAGCCTTCCACTTAGCTAGCCTTCCAACCAACTATCCTTTTATTTTGTTTTGAGGCAGAGTATTTCTTTTGTTGCTCAGGCTGGAGTGTAATGGTGTGATCTCGGCTCACTGCAACCTCTGCCTCCCAGGTTTAAGCGATTCTCCTGCCTCAGCCTCCGAAGTAGCTGGGACGACAGGCACCCACCACCATGCCTGGCTAATTTTTGTATTTTTAGTAGAGATGAGGTTTTACCATGTTGGCCAGGCTAGTCATGAACTCCTGACCTCAGGTGATCTGCCTGCCTCAGCCTCCCAAAGTGCTGGGACTACAGGTATGAGCCACTGTGCTCGGCCCCAACAAACTATCCTTTCATCCAGCTACCTTTCTTCCCAGACCCCCATTCCGCCTAACCATCCTTCCAGCCAACCACCCTTTTATTGCCTAGCCACGGTCCACTGGGCATTGTGCCAGGCTTTGAAGGTGCCCAGATGGAGAAGAGCCAACAGAGTCCTTATCCTGATGGAGTTTATCTTCTATGGGAAGCCAAGCATAAAATTAAGTTGTTAA